CTGAGTATCTACCAAATTCAAGTCAACGAAATGTCATCCATGTCTAATACGGCAGTTTCTCTTTCATTCAAAGAGTTAGATGGTCGTTCAAAAACATCGATTGGAAGTATAGCATGGACATACATTCAATCAATTGCGAGTTATGGGAATATGTCGATGGCAGCTTAGATACTTCAAGCAGGAGGGAAAGTGAGAAGAAAGCCGATGGAAAAAACAATAAGAGGGCTCTGAGAACAATCGTTTCTGATGTAAAAACCCACATTCACACAGAAATACGAGACCTCAAAACAGAAAAGGAAGTCTGGGAACGTCTGATGAATATTTATGAGTTCGAAGGATTTTCCAGAGTGACCAGTCTTACAGGAGAATTAGAAGTCATTCGTTACTCTGAATGTTAAGGAATACATTGATATATATACCATGGATGGAATCGGCCGACACTTGATGAACATCTATAACGCATTCAAAAAACACATTGTGAGATTTCCACTGAACAGTTTTACGAAAACGCAACACGTGTTTCGCCATACAATGGCTTATTCGAGCGAGTAAAGACACGTCCGAAGAAGCCATTGTATGGCGAAACACATGTTGCGTTTTTGTGAAATTGTTTAGTGAAAATCTCATCTCACAATGAATGTTTTTTGAAGAAAGAAATTGGATCCAAAGTCGGAAGAGCAGATTATCGTAGACTATTGCGATAATTCGAAAGTATATCGTTTGATGGATATAGCAACTCGAAGTTGATCATAAATGAGATAATCCAATTATCAAATCGTTCTGTCTTCTTAGGATTTCCTGGAAGCCAACAAATTTCATTAAACAAAATTTTTCACAATTTCACAATCACTCCAGTTCGACAGAAAAACTCCTTGGGCAAATTACCGCCGACAATTCGAAGCTGCGGCCAGAGCGAATGGATGGAATGCAGGAGAAAAGACAGTAGCATTAACAATGGCGTTGCGTTGAAGCAACGAATATTTTGCAAACCATCACGGCCCAAAAACAGAAAGACTATGACCAACTTATTATTCACAGCTGAAAAACCGCTGCCAGAAATCAGGAGAATCTCTACAGGAATTCGAAGCCGACATTGCTCGATTGGTTCGTCTGGCATATCTTGCTATACCAAAAAATGTAATGGAGCGGTTAGCAGTTCAGGAATTCTTGGACGGACTTCGCGGCCAAAAAACGATGGATGCACGATGGATGCACTGGCAAGTGCCCTGGAGTTTGAGGCTGCAAACAACTCTGCAAGAGCCAGNCAATGGAACTCCCTTACTTTGGAAAATGGGGTTCTGAAGCGGGTGTTGGAGTCTGAAGACGGTAGAGAAGAAAGGCGCCAGACAGTGGTACCCAGGAACAGAGGACGGGAAGTGCTCGAAGAAATCCATGATGGAGTCATTGGAGGACATCTTGGAGTAACGAAGACTCTCCAAAAACTAAGACAACGGTTTAACTGGGTTGATTGTCAAGCCGACGTCAAGCACTGGTGCAGAAACTGTGCTGTATGTGCTGCCAGTAACGGACCTTGGATACGAGCGAAAGCTCCAATGCGCCAGTATAACGTTTGTAGTCCCTTTGAGAGAATCGCCAACAACATCGACGGCCCGATTCCAGAGTTCGACCATGGGAACAAATACATCCTGCCAATGCCCTGCCCAACCAGGAAGTTTTTACCGTCGCTGACGTCCTGGTAAAGAATGGATATGTCGATTCGGTGTCCCATTGGAGCTGCATTCGAACCAGGGCTGATATTTCGAGTCCAAGGCGAATGCTGGATTCGAAACCGGTGACCTAGTTTGGCTATACAACCCTAAGCGACGCCGTGGTTTATCACCAAAGTTGCAAAACTCGTGGGAAGGTCCGTACAAAATCATAAAAAAGATAAATGACCTCGTCTACCGAATCCATAAGCCATCTCGAGGAAAGTCTAGGGTCGTTCTTTTTAATAGATTGCTGTTGCAGACTTTCCAGTAAACCTTTAAAAGGAAAAAAATGTGTAGAAAATTGTTTTGTTGTATCTCAAAGATATAAGGCAGCGTTTTCGATTTAAACGGGTGACATCGCCGCCCCGACTTCACAAAGATTACATCGTCGTATTCCCACGAAGTTTCATAAAACATCAATGAATCAAATATACGAACTATTCATTTCAATTACTACGTCCACTGATAAAAACCCTTTGAAAATCCTTTCGGTAGTTTTTGAGTTCATCGCATTCAAAAAGACCGAAGCGGATTTGTTTTATGATCCGTAGTAAATAACTCTACTATCATATTTGTTATGGATATATTTCACAAATGTTTATTCAATCATATTAATTGCAATCATTGATTTTCCATTCAATTGTGCGAACATATTTATGAACCAACAACAATTTTTTGCTAATTAAATTAGGTTCATACAAATCAAAATAAATTTCCAATTAATGGACTACTGAAATACAATGTTCGAAAATTCAACTATCAATTAGGAATTATATGCATATTGTTATGCATATTGATTCCTAGAAACAGAATTTTTGTTTCAATTACGATGACGCAAATTTGATTTGTAGAAGAGATTATATTTCAATTTACAGAGAACCCATGTTATACCTACTTATAGTTTTCTCACTGTATGGTTCCAGAAGGATGCTGAATATGCTCTAACTGAATTTCAATCTTAATTAAAATACTTTTCACTAACTATTGCCTTCTCGATAGATTGGCAGAGAAGTCTCCAATGTTTGTTGTCTCAACTTCATCTTACTCTACGAGGATGGTATTTTTCTCAGTCCAAGATAAAATGAAAGTCCCAGGTTTCAAATATAGAGTATAATGAGTAAGACAACGACTCCAAGAACTAAATAGAAAAAACGAGTAAAATCTTATAAAAAAAATGTTAAAATCTATGAAATGAAAGAAAATAGGATAAAGAAATGCAACCAATTTGACTATGCTATTTACTTTTGATTTAACCTCTTAAACAACTACAAACGCACCAACTCAATACAAAATACTTTTCGTTTTACTTTCACTTCAGTAGAGTTGTGAATACCTTTAAATTTGCTTTCTTTTTTTTTAATTGTAATCTGACCTCTTGCTAAACAACCCACGCAGGTAGCTGTAGCTGCCTCCGTGACATCCGGGTCCAGGAAATTATACAAATATGAAAGTTATTGAGTGCCTTGATATAGATACAGACAATAATGATCGGACATAACACTGTGAGTTTGATACTTTTCATTAAGCCTGATTTCATTCACTACTACCACTACTACATTACTAAAAGTCTCTTTTTGTATTCAATTCAACTACTAATTTTCTAGTGTTACTGGAGGTGAACTATTTGATAGAATTGTTAAAAATGGAGCTTGTACTGAGAAAGATGCTGCCCATTTGATACGACAGGTCTTGGAAGTGTCAAACCATAGAGATTCTGGTCCATTATCAGTATGGTGCAGCGAAGTGTAAGGATCGGCAACGCTGGGTTACCAAAAGAAAGAAATTCGAAGGCACGGAGCTACCAGCAGGAGCCAGCTGCAGATTTGTGGTTTCAGTTAATAGATCTTGTGTTCACAAGAAAAGTATCAAAATCACCGCCATGGTGATTCAATAAACCCTACTAAATACAAATAATGAAACAAAACACAGAGTCATCCTACAAATGCAATACGCATATATACAGAGAGCTGGCTCAAAAACCAAAGAATGCTCAGGATGTGGAGATCACTTAGTCTAAGGATTGAGTGGGGAATGGGTAAAAATATCAGCGGTGTTGAAACAGAACAGGCTGGTATCTCAGTCGCCACAAAACAATAACCAGGAAAAGAATTTCTGGCAAAAACATCTGCACTGATAGCAGACAAGCCCTATTAGCCTTGAACAGACAACGTGTTACCCCATGGCTAGTATTAGAGTGCCACCAAGATTTAGCCAAAGCCTCGGTAGATAATACAATTATCTTGAGGTGGGTTAAAGGGCGCGACAGGAAAAAAAAGTAATCGCATTGCCAAAGAAGCGGCTGGACTAAGAATTTTTGGACCCAGTGACACCTACGGCCTGATGACTTTGATAATTGCAGAACCAACCAAACATTACACCCATGCTCAATCCCTAAAGAGATGGGATGGAATCAAAGGATACAGTCTTGCCAGGATCACCCTGGGCGACCCTGGGAAGCTGGCGCTGAAGAAATATCTGGCGATGACCAGGAAAAACCTACGCTTAACAGTAGGATTCCTGAATGGCCACTGTCAAGTAAGGAAACACCTCCATATTATGGGGCTAGTGGACACACCTCTATGGAGGATGTGTGAACAGGAAGATGAAACTATCAGTCATTTCTTATGCGAGTGTCCGGAGTTATTGTCAATAAGAAGTGTGTGTTCGACGAGTCTTGGCCTACACCTGCCAATATAAAGGAGATGTCTCCCAGTGACCTGTCCATCTTTCTGGAAAGGACATGATGGATGATGACCTAGGCGGACAACTCCTCGGGAGGATTTAGAATGGGTCACGTGTGGCCTTAGTGCTGTGTGCCTGCACTCACCCTCCCTACTCTACAGATAGAGAGATGGCATCACAGAATTTGTTCAGTCAGTATTGTGATGCTTCAAGATGCTATTGTATAGCAAAACACGTGTCACGCTTTCATAAACTGTCGAGTAGAAATCTCATATTGAAGTGTTTGTTTGGAAACGATAACTGAAGATTTCATCGTTTCTCCCACTTTGTCAAAATGAATATTATGAGATAGTAGAATGAAAAATATCATCATTCCTTGTATTCGGAAAAAAATATTTTTCATCAGACGTTAACAGAATCTTCATCTTTTTGCTTTCATGATTCTCATTTATATTTTTCATGTCACAATCATTATCATAAAAATATGAATATTTCTGTTTTACTTGTGATGCACTGTTGGGAACATCTCCATTATTCTCTTGAAAATGAAAGTTATCTCAATACCTTTTTTTCCCATTGATTCTAATGATCTATTTCTCTATTTTTCAGAGCATTGCCGAATGGAACCAACACTACCACAACCCTTTGAGGGATGTGGCAATCCAGAAGAATCCACAAGACGTTCAAAACTTCTTTTTGGTCATCGGATTCAAGACACTTCTCCTGTACGAGAATTTGATCAAGACTTTCAAGACTTCGAAACACTTAATGTTCTGTGCTGTGAGAAAGGCGCGATACTGATATAAAGTTTTCTAATTTCAACGAACCTTTGACGTTACACAAGAATTTATCTTTATGTCTAGAACTGAATGATTATTCATATTCGACAAGTTGGTTGGAAGACCATATCAAAAGTTCTCAGTTTGGAGAAATAGAGAAACAGTTTTTGGAACCCCCAAAAAACTTTTTGATTTTCAAAGTTTGAAATACTGAAAATTCAGATCGTGAAAAAATTTCCTTTGGCGATGACGATATTTAACGTCCTCAAGATAAACATTTCATAGGAGTTCATTATAACGAAGGTAAAGACAAAGACCTGAAAAAAAAATGTAAAGAATAAAACTTGTAAAATGTCATCAATCAATTATGAAAATAAGATACAAGAGATTTATTTTTCAATAATTTCTTATATTGAGAAGAGGAAGGTGCAAATGTTTTTCCTAACTACTATATATTTTGGAAAAATACCAAATACTTTCCAGACATCTCTATTTCCTTCCCGACAGTTAACAACTACATCTTCCCTCATAATACTAAACTGAATCAACCGCTGGATGTATTCCGGTATTTGGATTTCAGAAGTCTGCAACAGAAATTTTAAATGTATACAGGCCATAACTATCATTAATTTCTGAATGATGAACGTTGGCGAAAATAAAGTCCTGCAGAAAACTTTGGTGCCTCCTCATAGCATTTTCTACCACCGCTTTCCATGAAGCTGAGATTGATGAAGCAATTCGTAAAGCTCGAGTTGGAAATTGTTTCAAAAATACTAAATATCAGAGTTTCCAGGCCTTTCAAAGGCAAAGTTGAAAAAAGGTGTTTTCGTTGGATCAGATATCAGAAGGATTATAGCTGATCCATAATTCATCACAACCATGACGGATCTTCGATGAAAAGGGTGGATTGCCTTCAAACAGGTAATTTTCAGGCAATAAAAAACCTCATTACAAACAAATCGTCAAAAGAATGTTGAAAGCATTTCAAGCTTCAGGTTGCCTAATGAGTTTGAAAGTACATTTTCTTCATTCCCACCTCAACTACATTCCAGAAAATTCATGAGAAGAGCAAGGTGGAATATTTCACCAAGATATTGAGGAGATAGAAAGATTCCAGGGAAGATAGAGCGTCTTAATGATGGCAGACTACTGTCGGACGCTTCAGGAGACCTTCCAAACATAGATACTTATATTATCATAAAACATGACATTCTATGACAAAATGACAGTCATTTTCGCATTCAACAAACCCAAAAAAATAAGAGTTGCACAAAAAAACAACACAGCTCTCAATATATTTTTACAGACTTGTGTTTCCTGAAGAATATCCAATCAAAAGACCATTTTGAGATGATTGTCTACTATTGATCACACATTCAGCCTCTGCTCTGTAAACAAAGTTGACAACGTTCCGACATCAGAAAATTGTCCCTTCGTAGTCATACATCAAACTTTTTTTTACAAAACCTATTGATAGTTCCATCCATGTGTGTACCTACAAGATAGAATGAAGTGCCACTCTTCTACCATCCCCAATATTTTTCTACTCAAATGCGGATTATTGAATTCATTATTGGATAAAAATCTGAAAGATGTGGAATGGGACGAAGATGAGGTTAACGTACAGTATAAAACATCGAATTCGATGAAAATTATAGAACGAAATCATGGAAATCGCACAATTAAATACCTGTTGGAATATCAAAATGCGGTACTATTGCATATCCCTTAATGAATCAGTATTCATTATGTCATTTCAAAGATAACGCGAATGAGTTTCTCATTCAAATACTGACATGACCAAGAGATGGTTTTGTGTGTCATCAGAATATTGTTATATAATGTTGTTCAAGTCACGATATTTTGTCTTCAAATTCAAACATTTCTCACCGCCCAAAATGATTTTTCACAAAAAAATTTCCGTCTCCACAGTTTTTGATGAGTTAAAATCAACTATAGAAATCAACTCAAAATGATGTGTACTAACGTTTCCCTCGATACTGTTCGATTTGAATATTACTGGAGTTCAGTCCCAACACCAAACCGTTATTTTTAACACCTCGACATGTGTTTCGATCACCAAGTGATCATCTTCAAGAGGAAAATTAAACTTCCTCTTGAAGATGATCACTTGGTGATTGAAACACGTGTTGAGGTGTTAAAAATAACGGTTTGGTGTTAGGACTAAAGTCCAGTAATAATCATTACTACACCAAAGTTTCCAAACAGTGCATCACAACTTTTTGATTTGTTCAATGTATATCATGTCACAGTTTTTGCAAGATATACGTTGAATACTTGTGAGTTTTTCCCAACACCAACCGATGTTTTAACACCTCGACACGTGTTTTGATCAAAACACGTGTTAAACTAACGGTATGGTATTGGAAAAATTTCCAGTAATATACGTTAAATGACAATGTGTTATCCAACCGTTATGACATTGAAATATATTTCATCAGTAGAAACGCTACACAATGTGATATATTATGAATTTTGATATGAACTGTTACTTACATGGGACACTGTCATCGCTAATGGTCAGTGCCGTTTTTAGGTTTTTCGGGGCCCTGGGCCAGTCACCGTTGGGGGCCCCTCCCCCCTCCCCATAAAAAATGTTTTTTTACAAAAACACGTGACAAAAAAATTTCCGTCTCCACAGTTTTTGATGAGTTAAAATCAACTGTATAAATCAACTCAAAATGATGTGTACTAACGTTTTCTCGATACTGTTCGATTTGAATATTACTGGAGTTTAGTCCCAACACCAAACCGTTATTTTTAACACCTCGACATGTGTTTCGATCACCAAGTGATCATCTTCAAGAGGAAAATTAAACTTCCTCTTGAAGATAATCACTTGGTGATTGAAACACGTGTTGAGGTGTTGAAAATAACGGTTTGATGTTGGGACTAAAGTCCAGTAATAATCATTACTACACCAAAGTTTCCAAACAGTGCATCACAACTTTTTGATTTGTTCAATGTATATCATGTCACAGTTTTTGCAAGATATACGTTGAATACTTGTGAGTTTTTCCCAACACCAACCGATGTTTCAACACCTCGACACGTGTTTTGATCAGAATACGTGTTAAACTAACGGTATGGTATTGGAAAAATTTCCAGTAATATACCTTAAATGACAATGTGTTATTCAACCGTTATGACACTGAAATATATTTCATCAGTAGAAACGCTACACAATGTGATATATTATGAATTTTGATATGAACTGTTACTTACATGGGACACTGTCATCCCTAATGATCAGTGCCGTTTTTAGGTTTTTCGGGGCCCTGGGCCAGTCACCGTTGGGGGCCCCTCCCCATAAAAAATGTTTTTTTACAAAAACACGTGTTACAAATATTTTTACAACATTTTATTTATTACACAGGTTTTTTTCGGGCCTTTCGAATGGTGAACTCCTCGATCACTTCTTTGAAATCTAAATCTCTAAGGACATCGTTCTCTATACTTATAAGCGACAACCATTTGAGTTTCTCCTGGCTCATGCTATTCCTAAACTCGTTTTTGATCAATTTAAGTTTGGAGAATGATCGTTCACCACTGACGTTGGTGATCATTAAGCACAAGAAAATTCTTAACGCGATCTCTACATTAGGAAACGTGGCAGCAAGATTGTTACTCTTTAAAAGTTTGTACATGTCATAGATAGGTATGTGATCACCGAACATTTTTTTCTGCATCAAATAATGCTTAAAGTGTTCACATTCCATCAGCAGTTCTTTTTCGTCGACGTCGTTTGTATAAAACTCGCTAAAAGAATCCGAACAAATTGAGTAGTTGATCGTAAGCCTCCGAACGATGTTTCAGTTGAGTGATCAAAGAGTCGATGATTGGAAGGTAGACCTCAATCCTGAATTTCTCGCGGCCCTGGAACTGGGTATCTTCTGCAGCTCCATCGGAGAAAGTCAGTCAGGAGCTCCTTTGTCTCGAACGGGTTTTCTTATGCCTGTATTCGAAGTCCGGGAAGATCTTTTTTGCCGCAGCTTCGTAGGTCTCGAACATGTCGCGTTTATCCTTCACAAACGTAAGCAGGGATTTCACCAACTTGAGGGCTACATCGAAAGGAAGACTTTCACTCTGTATACTCTTCGACGTCTCGTTGCACCTGACCAAATTGTTGCTCCACATCTCTGTCAGCAGAATAGAGTCCAACGTTTCCAGTTTCGCCAAAATGTCTCGAGCTTCGTTTCGCGTTTCCGGAGTTTCTCGTCCGGAGTCATCCATGGTCCTCAGTGAGTCAATTTTTGCTGGGTAACACTTGTGCAATGCAGATACAGCATCCGCGCGCGCAGACCACTTGGTGTCCGAAAGTCGTTTCACCACTGTACGTTCCCCGAGAGACTTCTTCAACACGTTCCAGCGATGTGTAGAACTGGCGAAGAAACTGTACTACTTTTGCAGCAACTGGAAGTTGCTTGTCGCCTCGATGACACACCCAGCGGCCTGCCCAATGACGAGGTTCTGGCTGTGCGCCAGACATGGGACTAACAGGGCGCAGGCGCAGTGTTCCTTGAGCTTTGCTTGTAATCCATTATACTGCCCTGCCATGTTTGGAGCGTTGTCGTACGTCTGCCCACGAGAGTCCTGTAAATCTATACCGTTTTCTTCAAGAAAAGATACAACGGTATCGGGCAGGTACTCTGCTCCATGCCGTTCAATCGGAATGAAATCCAAGAATTGTTCTATTGGGGAGCAGTCCTTCATGTACCGCACCACGAAAGTGAGCTGATCGACGTGGCTGATGTCAGGGGTAGAGTCGACGCTTATCGAGTAGTACTTCGCTTTCTTCAATTCCGAAATAATTTGGCTCAGTACTTGATGTCCCATTATAGCTATGAACTCATCGCAAATGGGTGCTGACAAGTAGGAAACATGTCCTGTACCTTTATTCGCATGATTGTGCAAATGGTCGGCAAGAAATGGATCAAACTTGCTTA